GGAACTGTATTAAGGGGTCGCGGCATTAGGAAGGTTGAGAACCGCTGAGCTAGAAAGAACTAGGGAGAAGAGAGGAGGGCGGGGCAGGAGGGAGGAGCCCGAGGGAGGTGGAATGGAAGAGGAGTTGGAGTGGAGGGAGGTGGGTGGAGGAGGGCAGGTGACAGCAGGGTGGGGCTCCATCTATAAAAGGGGAAAGCCTGCTGGCTACTGGGCAGGACACTTTGGCATACACTCCAGAGGCACCAGGGACCCCACAGGCTTTGGTGAGTGCCCCCCACCACAGCTGAGACCAGCAGCTGGTCTCTCTGGAACTTGTCCCCATCCTGTGCCTCCTGCCTCCCTTGCAGAAGGCCTTGGCTCAAGACGGGGTGGGGGTGGGGGTGGGGGGGTGTTCCCAGTGCCTGCTGCTGCTCATTTTGGGTCCTCCTCACCCTCACTTCCCCGTTCCCTCAAGGCTAAGCGAGGAGAACCAGCCTGCACCATGAACTTGTGGCTCTTGGCCTTCCTGGTGTCCTGCTTTGTGGATACATGGGCCCCCACTGTCCATGCTCAAGGTACTATCTTGAGCCATACCTACCCTCCTTCCCTCAGATTTCCCGTCCCCATCCATCCTTCTGTGCCCTCCTCGTTTTCCTGTCTTGTCCCCTCCAGAAGCCCCCTCTGAGCCAATCTCCACCACTGAATTCTCTGACAGCTCCCCGACCCCAGGATTGCAGAAACTCCTGGCACCTGTGCAGCTCCTTGGCACTGCAGGGTCCCCCAGCCTCTCTTCCGGAGCCCCCATGATCCCTTCACCACAGTCCATGACCTAACTCCTCCCTTTGGGGACTCCAGCTGGCCCAGGGACTGTGAGGAGCAGAGGGTGACTCCCAGCAGTGGCCTAGCTGCTTACCCCCAGGGACGCACTGCGGTGACCTGATCTTGCAGAGCCCTGGAGACTAACAGGAATGGGTCCCCCATCCCGGCTTCCCCCCACCCCAGCCAACTGTGTGGTCCGGCCGAGAGTCACTCCTCTGCCTTTATGAGCCTCAGTTTCCTCATCTGCAAAGTGGGGCTCTAGATCCCCACCGCAGAGAGGGGCCATGAAGATCTGATGGGCTGATGCCCACAAATTCTTGGCCCAGTGCCCGCTGGCAACAACAGTGGTAACTGTTACTGTTATTAACCAGAAATCCATCCTCTCCCTCGATTAGGCACTTGAGGATTTGGTGACTGAAGTCCAGTTCTAGGCATGCAGTGTGTCGTATCACTGTGTCCTCTGTTCTTGTGGGCCCTTGGAGGCAGCTGAACCCCAGCAGTAGGCCAGGCAGGGTCGAGGTCCTATGGCCCCACCCACCTGCCCCACCTGCCCCTCACTACGTCTAAGGCCCTAGCCAGGCCACCAGCAGACCTTAGCCTTTGCCCCAAGGGGGCTGGGCTTCGTTCCCATTGTTGTGCTATAGGAGGCCCATTCCAGAAGCCAGGCCCAGCCTGGGGCAGGCCCTTTGATCCTGGGGCAGAGTGGCCCCAAGCCCCAGGAAATGCCTGCTTGGGACTTCAGCCCAGGGTCTATCTGACTCCACTGCCCCTTGCCCTCTGGGGCTGCTGAAGCCCTCCCTCTCACCCCTCCCTCCCTCTGCGCTCTGCCAGGACCAGCAGAGGGACAGATCCCAGAGGACCCTGAAGGCCTCTGTACCTTCTCCTGCATCAATTCATCCTCTGCTTCCAGACCCCCTGGCCCAGCATCTTCTCCTCTGAGCACCTCCCCTCCAAGTCCCTGTGTTTCCCCTGTCAGCACAGGTCAACTTCTCAGCCTACCCACCAGGCCGGGCCATCCCCATGACAACACTGGGCCCAATTCCCCTCTGCGTTTGTCCCCGCATCTGGCACTAAGAGCTCTAAATGCTTTTGTTTGACCAATGGATAAATGAACAGAGACTTCCCAGTCTCTGGCCAGGTGACTCAGTGGTCACTCTGATGAGGACAGAGAAGAGGAGATACCTGAGGTAGACCTAGGTGGGGAAGGCCAGCCTGGAGTGGGAGCCAGGACATAAGGAGCAGCAGGCCAGCTCGCTCATTTTAGCGGGAGGGACCCAGATGGGAGTGGTGGCCCCTTCTTAGGGTAGGGTGGCCCACCTGCCCTCTTTTCCCTCTGCTCCAGAGCAGGAGTGGAAATGGCCTTAGTCCCCCATTTATTTTGAGGTCCCAGGCCCTTCCTAGCCGGGCCCTGCAGGCCTTCTCAACTCCTGCCAGCTGTCCCATATCAAGGACCAAAGGTGAACCAAATGGCTTCCTTATCGCCTGGGCTGTCCCTCAGCCTCCACTGGGCCTGGGACTGCGGTCGTATGTTTGTGGTGTGTTCGCGGGTGCCTACAGTGGTGGCTGAGCCTGCACACACAGTGCACATGCAGACCCACAGACACACAGAAAAGTGAGTCCGCGGTGGCCATGTGATTGCAGGCGTCTTTGAGGACTGCTGCCTGGCCTACCACCCCCACGTAAGGCGGACCGTGCTCAGCCATGCCCGGAGTTACCGGCGCCAGGATGTGAGCGGGAGCTGTAACCTGCCGGCCGTGATGTGAGCGGGACAGTGGGGGCTGGGGCTGGGAGGGCTCACACATAGCTTTGTTCCCCGCTTACACACTAACCTGGCATCCCCACTCCCTGCACAGATTCTACTTCCCCCGCAGACAGAAGATGGTGTGTGGGAACCCAAAGGACAAGTGGGTGCAGTTTGGGATGAGGATTCTGGATACTCGGAACGAGGCCCATCCAAAGCATCCCCAAGGTACCCGGAGAACCTCCCAAGGTGATGAGACCCCAGCCCAGCACTGATAGAGGCTTCTACCCTCCCTGCTGAGGCTCCTGAGCTTCTCAACCCCCAAAGGAGGGAATTGCAGCCCAGAATGCTGACAGCGGCCCCACCCCAAAGAAAGCCAGTTGCTGGGGAGTGGGAGGCTGAGTGAATGAGCAATTCTTTTAATTAAAACACTTTGAATTGCCAGAGATGGAAAGGTCAAGCAAATGGCTTCAGGCTCGGCTGGATCCAGGCGCTCAAAGGATATTGGCTGGCTCTTATTTTTCTCTCGTTCTCTGTCTCTGCCAGGCTCTCACTCTGGGGGAAAGAAGTTGAGCTCTGGAAACTTCAGGCTGCCACTCAAGCTTAAAGATCACACCAGAAGCAGCCAGAGGAATGCCTCTCGCCTGACAACAGCTAATCCAGGTAAGGGCTCTGATCATTTGACCACCCTTCTACCCACCATCGCTGCTGAGGGATGAGGGTTCATGATGAGCCTAGACTGGGTCGGGGGACTCACCTTCAGGACCAAGGAAGGATGACTCTATGGACAGCCCCACATGGGAGGATCCTAGGTGTCTACTACCTTGACCCAGCCCAGGGGGCTTTGGCTCCACTCCAGTCCCTGTCACCTGCCATCCTTTCCAATCCCTTCTGCAGGAGAGTAAGCCCACACATCTTCAGGATGAACCAGCACAAGATGGGCTGGACCTTTCTCCGCCATGAGGGTCACGGTGCAGCTCCAGTCCTTCAAGCCAAAGCTCCATCTCTAAGTCTGCTGCATTGGTTCCCTCACCTCTGCCACCTCCTGCTCCTTAGGCAGCTGGAATAAGGGAGCTGACCTTATTTCAAGCCCCTGTCTGCTCTGGGAAGCAGAGCCAACCCTGGGCAACAGGTCTTATAGAGAACAATTGAGATACACCATCCACCTACAGTCTCTTGCCACCCACCCTGGGCCATACCTGCCTGTGTCCCTCTGGGTCTTGCAAAGCTCCAGTCTGTCTCAGGCTATGCTTTTTAAAATAAACCTTTGGTGGAATGTCATTTCTGTCTGTCCCATTTCGTTATGGGGTGCTGAATCCCACGATTCCCTCACTGCAGGATCTGCGCTCAGCCCTCATAGCAGACTGCTCTGGAGGGCCAAGCACTGGAAATGCTGGCTGCAGGTCCGCGTGAGTCCAGCTGGTGAGCTTGAACAACAAACTGCTCACTCTCTTGGCACCTCCTTCCTCGTCTATAGAGCGGGGGTCACATGCTTGCTCTGCCCAGATCCCTGGGCTGCAGTGACTGGTTAACGAACAGAGGAGCCTCTGCAAGCTCTGACGGGAGCTCAGAAGCTCCTAAGTCGGGTGAACCAGACCCTGGCCAGGACAGAGGCCTGGGACCAGGCACTAGTAGTGAGGCTCTGCAGGAGGAGGAAGGGCCACACTTTGGGGTCCAGGTCACCACCCAGACTTGAGCCACCCAACTGTGCTGTTCTCAGGCAGTCTGTTTCCACCACCACAGAGAACGCTCTGGATGAAAACCAAATGCACCATCTCTAGAGGACAAGAGGTGGTTTGGAGCCAGGGGACAGACTCAGAGGAACCTAGGGCACAACCAGACCCTACTATGCTATGTGGGTGACTCAGGCAGATTCCACAGATTCTCTAAGCCTTGGTTCCCCCCCCCGCCCCCCCAGTAAAATGCAGTAACACTGCCTGCTTCATACAAGTTTGTGGGGACTAAATATACTCCCGTATGTGACATGCACATGCACTAAATATACTTCTGGCCATTCAAACTTGGTAGATCTGGCCCAACCTAGAGACAGGCAGGATAGCGTGGCGGATGAGGCACAGCTGCCTGACTTTGAACCTGGCCACCTGGAGTCCCCTTAGTCAAGTGTCTTAACCTCTCTGAGCCTCAGTTTTCTAATCTGAAAAATGGGGATGAGAATAAGAGCATCTATTCCATGGTTGGAGTGATGACCAAACAGGTCAATAATTGGAAAATATTTAGAAGGATTCCCGAGATACAATGTGTGGTCCAGAAACGTAAGCTATTTTCACTAGTATTGGTGAACTCACGAGGGCTGTTTGTGCCAGCTTCACCGGTCTGAAGTTGGCAGAGCCTACTTGTACCTGGGGACGGTGTCCGGACCCCCAGGTAGAGGGTGGTCTCCACCCACCTCTCACCTTCTTCTCGGAGCCTGGGGCTAAAGCTCATGCTTCCCAGCTTCCGCCCTCCCGGGGTCTCCGGTTCCCCATGTGGCTCTGCTGTGGGCAGCATCTTCTTACTTTGAGAGCACGCCAAGGGGGCAGACATAACCCAAAATAACTTTATTGTTTCTCTGCTTCTGATATAAAGCATCCTTAGAACCTTAACCCAGCCCCCTGGGGGCATGAACATGGCTGCATGTCATCAACTCTGGCTGGGGCCCTGGGGGCCCTACTGCTCTCAGGGATGAGCGCCATGCCCACCCCAGCTGCCTTTCCCATATCCCACTGACCCCCGGCGGTTGAGCCCTGGTGCAGTGCAGAAGTTCAAGCCTGAGATTGACCGAATACAGTGAATCATAGGGCCCTGCTCGACCCTAGTGTTGGAGGTGGAGGGTGCAGGCCACAGCTTCCAGCTGTCTCCAGGGAAAGCTGAGTGTTGGGAAGAGGCTGGGCTCGCCTGAGGTCATAGTGTAGCATGTCATTCTTCCTGAGTTTCGGGGTTCCACCTGGTCAGCCATCGCCACCGGGGATCAATCATTCTCAGTTCCAGAATCTCCCACCTCTGGAGAGGAGGACGGCATGGAGGCCCTGGGGCCCATCAAGGCCAGGGCTTGTCACCAGGGTGTCCCTGCGGTGTGTAGCGAGCAGTTTCATCAGTTTCCCCAAAACCCCGTGGAATGAGGCAAGGGTTGGGTGTTGCCCAGACAGTGAGTCTGGAGAGGGGGTTGCGGGAGGGACCTGGAGCTAGGCGGGAGGTGAGGGCCTCTCCCGGCTACAGCAGCTGCAGCCGTACCTTCAACCGTAAGGCCAGGACCCCTGGCCCCATCTGCTCCTCTGGCCAGATGCCCCAGGGCCCTGCCACGCTCACCACCTCCAGCTGGTAAGTTCCAGGCCCTGGCCTCCGACGCCCCAGCTGCAGAGAACTGAGGCCACGGAGGTGATGCATGCGGAAGAAACCTTGCTCATTGCCGTGGGCAATGACATAGCGGACCCGGTTCCCTAGACTCTCCAGCACTGGCCGCAGCTCCAGAATGTGCTCAGCTTGGCCCAGGCGCGAGAGGTTCAAGCCCAAGGTCAGTGGGACCTCTGAGTCAAGGCTTGCCAGGCTCACCTGGGGAGAAAGACCAGGTGGATGGTGAGAGGCTGGCAGAACTGAATGCGATGGGTGGGGGGCCATGGAGTCATGGCCACAGGGAGATTCTAGCCAATCTCTAAAGAGGAGGAAAACACGGAACACTCTCTGCCCTTGACTTCTGTCTAGCCCTCCATCCAAAAGGCCAGAAATCAGCTTGGGCTATAGACACAGGCATGAAAGTGGAGACTGGTTCCCAGAGGGAAAGCGAACAGGGAAGGTAGGCAGCCACTTTTACATGCTGCCTCCAGACTCCTAGTCTTGGCGGAGCGGCTTTAGTGAGATCTTTGCCAGTCTGGGCAGAGGGAATTGAGGGTTTGTCCTCAGAGTCCTGGACAGGGCATTAATCAGATGGCTTCAGGCCCCAGAGACATAAGGTCACTCAAAGGCGGCCTGGGGCGGCTGGAGTTATGACCAAGGGCCTTGCAGCAGAAGTCAGCCCCAGAGAGGATACCAGACCAGACACGGTGAGAGGAACACAAGATCAGGCTTGGCTAGGGACAAGAGTTGCCCGACAGCTTTCCGGTTCCCGGAGGCCGGCTACACTTCCTATATCTGGGCTCTTTGAGAGCCCTGTGTGTGCAGATGACAAACCCTCTTTATCTGAGTTCCTGTGAGTGCCTTCCTGGTCCTGGCAGCTGGACAGGGCCCTGAGTAAGCCAGCCAGCCTCAATGGCAGGCTAACTCTGGGCTGGGTGCTGCATCCAATCACACAGGAGGTTATCTGTGTTTCTTTCTCTTTTGTTCTGAGCTGTGTTTGTTCTGCCTAATTGACATGCTGATGGGGGTGTTTTGCTTTTGCATTAAAGGAAAGCTATGCCTGTTTCCGCAAACCCTCCGTTCTGGAGATTTCAGCCCTTCCCCATTAAGTGTTGCTCAGACATGTGCTCTTACTGACAATCGGTGCGTATTGCAGGCAAAGGCACAGGGTGCATCCCAGGAGCCCAGATAGCCACTCCACTCACTCTTACTGAGGACCAAGGGCTGGTGACATAGCAGTAAACCTGACAGACACAGGGCCCTACCTTGTGAAGCTCACAGAAAATAATGGTAACAATGGGATAATATATACAGCCACCATTTTTCCCAAAAAGAGGGGTGAAAAAATACTGGAGAGGGGCTGGCCGAGTGGCGCGTTAGTTAAGAGCTGGCTTGGGACATCAGCTCTGATCCCCGGTTTGGATCCCACATGGACCAGTGACACTGCCCTCTACAGCTAAGATGGTGAACAACAGCTCGACCTGGAGCTGGGCTGCCGTGAGTTGCCGGCGACGGCGTAGGCTGCAGCCCCTTTGGCAGTGGGCTGCCATGGGCTACCGTGTGTGGCCAGCATTGGTGCTAAATTCAAAGGAGCTATGAGGAAGAGCTTTGCCAGCCAGGAGCTGGTGACAAGTTTGGGGATATAGGCAGGGTTGGCAGGGAGCCAAGCCATTTCTCCTGCATCCAAGTACCATGGAAGGGATCACAGGGAGCATCACAGCCCAGCCAGAGTCTGTGTGGTAGGTACCTGACTCATCACCAGGAGTGTGGTAGGGTGGTGGGGCTCTGTGGCCCCCAAAGCCCTGAGAGGAATCTGGGAGCTGAGGAAATGCAGGCAGGCCCAGTCGGCACCATGGCATGGGAACTAGCTGGGGCACAGTCTAGTGTTCCCACCTTTGTCCCGTCCTCTAGCTGCCCCCACCTCTGACTGTGCCACCATGCCCAGTGCATTCCCCATGGCACCTGGTGGCCCCCGTGTGCACTGCGCCGTGCCCGGTCACGAGGCGGGAGGCTGTTGATCTTGCATTCGTAGCAGGATTCAGGCGAGACCAGCTCCTCATCTGGGCCATTCTGGGATCCGGGGCTGAGGCTCAGGCCGGAGACACAGTGCCTAGGCCAGGACAGGGGGAGACAGGCCTTCAGGGACAGGCTGGTGGGACCTCCCCAGCCACCCTCACACTCCATTGGAGCCACACTACCCGTGGGCACAAGTGCTATCATGTAAATGTGCCAGTGTGGCTTTGCATGCACCTACCCAGAGGTATGTGCGTGCATGCATCCTTGGCTTACCTGGGCAGAGGTGTGAACCTGCATGCACTCAGGGCTATATGAATGTACCTGAGTGCACCCAGGGGCGTTTGCGTGTGCAAACCTGTGTACACGCTGGAATGCTGATGTGTGCTTGTGTATGTGCATATTGGGATATATGAACACACAGGGTGCTTGGACATGTTGACATGGATGTGAACCATGCATACGCTCGAGTGTGTTACGGAGAAGCATGCATCTGTCACTATGGACATGCAAGCATGCAGAAGTGCCACAAAAACAGTACACCACAATGGGTGTGAGCTTTTGCATGCACATGTACAGGTGCCACTGGGGCTCTGTGCCCCATTTTCCGTGCACATGTGTGTGCACAGGCTGGTACATGTGCATACACTCCCAGGGTTTGGGGGTCTGTGCCCACCCCACTCACCCTTGCCCAGCCCGGAAGTAGCCTTGGGGGCAGCCGCACAGGAAGCCGCCAGGGGTGTTGGCGCAGCTGTAGCTACAGGGTCCCCCCCGCACTGCACACTCGTCCACATCCTGGCATCCCCCCAGGGTCTGGTCAAAGTCAAAGCCAGAGGGACAGACGCAGTGGAAGCCACCCAGCGTGTTGTGGCAGGAAGCGCTGCCACAGGCCGTAGGTGATAGGACACACTCATTCTTGTCTTAGGGTGGGGAAGGAGAGAGAGAGGACGTAGGGGGTGGGTGTGGGGGCCAGCTTTCGCACCCCCAGAGCCATCCACCTGCAACGCTCCTCCTCCCCACTCAGCAACTCCAGGTGCTTTCAGAGCCCAAGGTCAATGTCAAAACTTCCATCAAACCTGTGAGCCCCTCAGCCCTATAATTTTTCCTCTAAAGCATTTCTAAAAACTTCCCAGAAATCATAAATTATGGGGTGGTCTAAAACAAGGTCTCTCCCTTTTGGCACTGTTGACATATGTGACCAGATGACTTAGGAGGGGCGGGGCATGTCCTGGGCACTGTGGGGTGTTGAGCAGCATCCTTGGCCCCCACACACTCAATGCCAAGAGCACCCACCGCTCAGCTGTGACAACTACAGATATCTCTAAGACGCTTCAAAATGTGCCCCAGCGGGTAAAATGGTTCCCAGTTGAGAACCACTGGCCTGATTAATCCGTTTCCCCCCGCGAGACCGGACTAGAGGGCAGGGATGGGCTCTGGAATCTGTTTCTCGACTCATGTCTATGTCCGCAGGGCTTGGTGCCAGGCAGGTCCTGCGCAAACCATGGCTGTAGGAATGAATAAGTATGCAGAGGCGCAGACAAGCTGAGAATGAGGAACTGGCAGCAGAGGCAATAGCCTGATTGGTCCCCAGGGGTCAGACGCTACAGGGCAATGGGGGACAGATGTGGAACATAGCTGAGGACCCACTATATGGGGCCGGAGGAGGAGCTGGAGAAAAGGCAGTGCTGGTGAGGTGGTAGGAGTGGGGACAGCCACGTCACAAGGCCAAGAAAGGAGAGAGTATCCGGAAGGGTCAGGAAGGCGTGCCAAGAGAGCAAAGGAGGTGAAGAAGTCGAGGGAGAGCGGCCCCGACAAGGGTCAAGAGTGAAAGCCAGACTGCAGGGGAGAAAGAGAGGTGGTGAGGACAAGGCTGTCATTTAGAGGGCCTGGAGCAGCAAAGAAGGGCATGCAATGGAGAAGGCTGAGGGGCAGGAGGCTAGCCCCCCCAAGCTGAGAGCTTCTGCAATAGCTATGGCAAAGGTGTGGCATGCATGCCCCCAGTCCCCACTGCCACACCCATGGCAGACACCAACAATCAATCACAGCACTCTTTCCCCATGATCACAGGCACCATCTCAGAATCTTTGTCATCTGAGCCCTCCAGGTCACCACTCCCTAAGAAATAGACTTGAGCTTTCCCATGCTGGCTCTGCAGTCTCCTGATTTCCCGGCAATGGGGAACGCATTACTCTCCAGGCTGGCCCATCTGACCTGTAGGTAGGTGTGCTTGTCACAATATCCTGCAGGGGGGTGGTTCCTAGTCACCCACTCTGGACAGGTTCTGGTGGGGGCCCCAGCTTCCTCCCAGCCCCTGCCACTCACCCACACACTGGCTCCACTGAGAGTGTGGGGTGAAACCCTGGGGGCAGCTGCAGCGGTAACCCCCCAGCTCGTTCTGACAGCCGTGCTGGCAGCGATGGGGCCCATCGCATTCATCCACGTCTGTAAGACAGAGAGGGAGAGAGGGCTTGCCTGGCCCCCTTCAGGACCACCTCCCAGGCCTAGATTCCGCCTAAAACCCGGCTCTACCTTCGCAGCCATGGCCTGAGCTGTCCAGGGTGAAGCCTTGATAGCACTCACAGCTGAAGCTGCCTGGGGTGTTGTGGCAGCGTCCCCGGGTGCCACATAGGTCAGGCTGGGCCAAGCACTCATCATTATCTGTTGTGGACAGAGAGCCGGCAGGGCCGTCTGGTGGTTATGGAATTCGTGTCAGGCGCCATGATGCTGGGCCCACCACCTGATTAACTATGTGGCTTCAGGCAAGTCACTTACCCTTTCTTTGTGCCTCAGTTTCTCCCTCTGTGAAATAAGCTCTGTGACAGTTCCCACCTCACAGAATGCCCACGAACATTTGAGATCACACACATATAGGACTCTGAATCTCATCTGTACCACCTCAAAGCTGTGTGACCTGGGGCAACTGACTTACCCGCTCTGTGCCTCAGTTTCCTCAGCTGTGGCATGGAGATAACGATACCCACCTCACTGAGTTTTTGTGAGAATTAAATTTATCTAATCATGTGAAGGGTTTAGGACAGTGCTTGGGATAGGAATAAAAGATTAATAAAACTGTTACCGGCCAAGAGAGTGCCCCCCACAAATAATTTTAAGTTTTCTTTCCTATAGAAATATTAAGTATAGAAATGTTAAGTCTCCTCCCTAGTTTCTTAGTTCCTTAGCTCTTGGCTTTGATTACTTTTTTAACCAGTTTGTAAAGCCTAGACTAAAGATTGCTCCTAGCCAGAATCCTAAAATTCTATCCCCCTGCTTCTTGATTGCTTTGTAAATCAGTTTCTGAATCCTAAACAATAGAAGTCTCCTACCCCTGCTTCAGATAACTACTTGAAAGCCTGTGACTTCTTAATATCTCCCAGGCCAGTAAACTGAATGCCAAACCCATTTTGGACCCAGACAACTGACGCCACCTGAGTAACAGGCTGAATGGCAACAGGCTTCATGAGAGCTAACAGATTTATTAATTGAAATCTATTTTTCCTCATTCAGGGACTTTGGGGATACAGAGAATACCCCAACAAGATTGCTGGTCGCAACCAAAGCAGCCAACATGGTCTTCCAGGCAGAGCTCAAGACCCCTTCCTTCCATCTGAGATCAGCTAGGGTGAGAGTTCTGTGAATCCCTCAATGGGCAGGGACAGCTCTACGCCCCTACCCAGCAGGAAGCAGATACAGAAGAAGAGACCTCCTGTCCCCCAGCTTCCCATAGAGATTTTATGGGGATCACGTCTCTCAAGGGGAAAACAAGGCAGGCAGTTAGAGGCAGACATTGGGTCTCTGCATTCCTGCACGTCCCACAGGATGTGACCACCCGGTGACCTCCCCTCTCAACCCAAAACTTCTTTTCATTGTAACGATCTACCCCTAAAACAAATGGGTACAACTAGATCAGAGCAGTCACTCGCACCTGCGCAGTACAGCCTGTCAACCACAGGTGCCAATCAAGTAGTCCCACCCCCTTAGGGGAACAGCCCATTCCAGAGAAGGGATAAAAACCCCAAGTCCTGTGCCTGCTGAGTGATTCAGTTGGTTAAGAGCTCGCTCAAGAGTTTGAGCTCTGAGCAACAGCGGTTGGATTCCCGGCCCGAGCTGAGCAGCTGTTGAGCTGCCAACAGGTGGCAGGATGGCTCAGTTTAAAAAACAAACACCCAAGTCCTGGGAAATCTGCGTTTTTCTTTTTCCCTTTTTGGACACCTTGACCTTTTGACCGCTTCTTCCTTTTTGAGCCTTTTTTGAGCCACGCCTTTGCACGTGGCCCACTCCAAACTCTTTGGAATGTAATTTCTTTTCTCATAATGGGCCCTTGAGACATTCTCTACTGCTCCGGCCTACTTCTACTCTTTGAAATGTATTATCTTTTCGAACAAACTACTTTTTCAGTGCTTTACTCCAGCATCTCGTTCAATCCCTTGCTTGAGTTGCCAAGGACCTGGATTTCGCGCCGAAAAAGGCCCACTTTCCAACAACAAAACCCCTTTTCCTTTTCTATGGGAAAATAACCTGGGGTAGCTGTTGTGCTTTGTCCTCATGGAAACCTGACAATTGTGGGATGCCAGCCAGTGTTGTAGACTGAATGTTTGTGTCCCCCGCAAAAATTCGTATGTTGAAGCCCTAACTCCCAATGTGGTGGTAGTTGGAGATGGGGCCTTTGGGCGGTGATCAGGGTTAGAGGAGGGCGTGAGGGTGGGGGCCCCCATGATGGCATTAGTGCCCTTAGGAGAGGAGACGCCAGATTGCTGGCTCTCACTCTTTCTCCATCATGTGAGCACACATGAGAAGACAGCCATCTACAGGCCAGAAAGAAAGTCTTCACCAGGAACCCACCCTGCCAGCACTTTGATCTGAAGACTCCCCGCCTCCAGAACTGTGAGCAGTTGTTTAAGCCATTCAGGTTACAGTATATTGTTATGGCAGCCTGAGTTACCAGGCAATGTTGCTATGGTGAAAATGGCCATAGCTGGTAAATTGCATGTGGACTGGGGTTCTAGGGAACGAACAATACATTTCAGGGTAGGAAATTCAAGTTTTGGCTTCCTTAAGTGTGGAGATTATTGACACCAGGTATATCCCTTTGGGGTCCTGGGATCTCTCTTGGGTGCAAGAGGCATTGGGAAAATGGGGCTTTTAAGCAGAGGAGCTCCTGAAGCTGTGTGTGGTCTCATTCCTGTCATCTGAGCTGTCACTCGAGGGGCCACAGAGACTAGTCCTGGATTCTCACCAGTGAACCAAGGGTCAGGGTGGCCTATTGTGGTCATATGAGTGTGAACTTCTAGTTCAGTTGTCAGCAAACCCATGGGACAAATCCAGCCCACCACCTGTTTATGTAAATCAAGTTTTACTGACACACAGTCATGCACAAGCATTTATGACATATCATCTATGGCTGCTTTTGAGTTAAAACAGCTGAGTTGAGTGATTACAACAGAGACCATGTGGACCACAAAGTTGAAATATCCACTAACAGGCCCTTGATAGAAAAAGTTTGCCAACCTCTGATTTAGTTAGCCGAAGACCACCCACCAAGAGTACAGGCTATACAGATGTTAGTCACGAATGATCTGAAGCGTTCAATCCATGGTAACTATACAATGGGGAGCCTGGCTGAGAATTGAATCTAATGAAAGAAGATCTGTGTGAGCTTGCTGTGTGTCATGTACACGTGGGATGAGTGTGTGCTGGCACATGGGCTGTGTGTGTACACACATATAGCTGTACACATACATGTTAAGGATGCTCATCTTAGGAGGCAGGGAAAATAACATTACTATGAGGAAAAAGAGAAATACATTATTTCAAGGCCCAGAACGCTCTTCCCCAATATGCACATGGCTCTCTTGACCTCCTTCAAATCTTTCCTCAAATGTCCCCTTTTGATGAGGCTTCTCCTGAAAATTGCAGCCTTCCTGATTTCCTCACTCTGCTTTTTTTTTTCTTTCACACTACATGTCACCTTTGAACATGCTACAGTGTTAACTTATTGTTATGTTTGTTTCTAGTCTGATTCCTTGCTAGCAGGGTCGGTCAGTGACCGCAGCAAGCTTAACCCTCGTATCCATTTCTGTACCCTCAGAGTCTAGAACGCAGCTAGACACCACTTCTGTAAAAGGCCAGATAGGAAACATTTTTGACTCTGTTGCAAATACTCAGCTCTGCCACTGTAGCACAAAGGCAGCCATAGACAGGACGTAAATAAACAGGCATGGCTGTGTGCCAATGAAACTTTATTAACAAAAGCAAGCAGGGAGCCAGGCTTGATCTGGGGTTTGGAGTCTGCTGACCTCGGGTCTAGAGCACTGCCTGGTACACAGCAGGTGCTCAGTAGCTGTTGGATAAGTGGATTAGTGGGAACCTTAATGGGGCCACCCTTGGCTGGGCTTGGCCCTCTGGGAAAGTCTGGCTCTCCTGGGCCACAAGACACTAAGAAGTGATGGGAGTGACAGGTGCTCCTGCAGCTTTGGGTTCAGAGCCAACTTCCCCTTTGGACCCTGTGAGCCCCAGGGCTTTTTCATGAGCACCCTGGAGAGGGGCTTGGGAGACAGACCCAGCAGGGACTGATCACATGTCCTGGGCCAAGGTCAGAGGAACCCCTGAGGGCGGACCTCCCAGATCCCTAGGGGAGGAGGGAGACTGAGGTTCTAGATGCCACTGGGCACTTGCTATTTTTTTTGTGAACAAATAAGTGAAGGCCACAGTCATGCACCAGATGCTGCATGAAGTGAGGGAACTCACCGAAGCAGGCCTGGTGGCGTTGGGTGAAGCCGGGGGGACAGTGGCAGGTAAAGGCGCCGATGGTGTTGACACAGAAGAACTGGCAGTTGTGCTGCCTGGAGGTACACTCATCCAGGTCTGTGGCACAGATGGTCCCAGGGGGCTCAGGGCAGGGCCTAGCTGGGGCTGGGGGCTTCCCAGGGGAAAGACCCTAGAGATGGCGTCCAATGCCATGCAGTAGGGAGAGGGTGAGATGGCATGGGATGTGCCCGGGGCATCCCTGGGGGGCAGGGATGGAGCCCCACAGGGCACGAGGGGAAGGAAGGGACAGACATCACCTCTGCAGGTCCTGCCGTCCTCCTCCAGCAGGTAGCCGCGGGGGCAGGCACACAGGAAACTGCCCTCCGTGTTTTTGCAGAGGAAGGTGCACGGTGTGGGGGTCTGGCTGCACTCGTCCACATCTAGAGGGGATCACAGCATGCAGGGGGATTAGACAGGCATTCCCAGGGGCTCAGAGGCTGGGGTCTCCACTGCGGCCCCGCTATAGCCTCCTTCCCAGACCTTAGCCATCCAGAACCTGTGGGCTTATATAAGCAATTGACACTTTTTGTAAAAAGCCAGAGTAATCACGTTGGGCTTTCTGGGCCAAACAGTCTCAGTTCCAACTACTTAAGTATGCCTTTGTAGCAGGAAAGCAGCCATACAGGGTAAGGAAACAAACAGCTGTGACTGTGTGCCAATAAAACTTTATTGACAAAAATAAGCCAAGGGCCAGAGTCGGCCATTGGGCTGTGTTTGCCAACCCCTGACTTAGAGGAATACTGCTATACAAGGTAACTGAAAATCTTCAGATGTACAAAACAACAGGAGGAAAGTGGCCCAAATAAGGTCGGGGTAATAGGAAGGATTAGTGAATATTTTCAACTTTGTGGTCCATATGATCTCTGTCGCTTCTGGTCTTGGTTTTCTCACAGAAGCGCAGGCCAGATGCTGTGCAGAGGGGCTGGGCTGGGCCAGGGGATGGGGATCAGGGGACTCACCCAGGCAGGCTGTGGCAGTGGCATCTGGCCTGTACCCATCCTGGCAGTGGCAGCGGAAAGAGCCAAGGCTGTTGATGCACTCACCGTGGGGACATAGGTGAGAGAGTACATGGCACTCGTCCACATCTGGGGATAAGGAGGGCTCGGCTGGGTCTGGCTGCCTCGGGTCACTGGGGCATGCCTGCTCCCATTTGCCCACCAGCCCTTTCCCCTCCCTGCACCCTGGAGCTGGGACCACACCTCATGCTGTGGGTGGCACTTCCACCAGCAGGACACTTTAATGAAGCTCCTTCCACTGGACACTGAGAACACCCTGGGGGACATACCCACCCCACATACGCGGAAGCACAGTGACACACAAGCATTGCATACCAGTCACACACGCACACACACACACACACTCCTGCAGAATCACGAGTACACACACTCAGGGGCTCCTCTGTCCCCCAGACGCACCCTCGCAAAGGCACTTCTCAGCCCCTGATGTCACTGATGCTTACTTCGGATGATCTGTCATCCTCACTGACATGCTAGATGAGACATGCTCACACACAGATACACTCATACACACAATACCAACTCACACACACTCACCGGAACCCAGAACACAAGACTGGCTCACTCCCTCCCCATCACCTTCTGGTGTGTACTCCTCACCCAACTCACACGCACAGAACACACACCAGCTCCCACCCTCATCCGCACACACATGTGCTCACTAACCAGCTCACACACAAGGAGAACGCGCACCAGATCTTCCGCTTTCACATGCTCAATAATGAGCCTACACACAAAAGAACAAAGAACACATGCATTGCCTCACACACCTGCTCACCTGTCCACCCAAGTTCGTGCACTCACACAGAGCCAAGAATGGGTTCTCACTGGTTCATACACATATACACACACACACACACACTCTCTTTATCCAGCGCGACCATGGGCAAACTCCCACCCACCTCTGCCCTCGACAGTGTAGCCTGCGCCGTGAGGACACAGCTTCTTGTGAGCAGTGGTACCAGGCAGGGGACAGAGTTCGCAGCGGGGCCCCCAGCCACGGCCGCCCCCGCAACAGCACTCCACCCTGGTGACTGCAGCGCCACTGCTCGAAGGGGCCTGGCATGTGGTCTGCAGCACCTCGGAGAAGCAGGGCCCCTGCCGGATGTCTGCAGAGAACGAATGGGGATGGTGAGTGGGAGAAACGCACCATCAGAGTCCCCCTTCCATTGGGGTGTCTGGGGGCCTCCCAGACATCTCTGACACGGCTGTGCAGAGGTATGGGATGCCATCTTCCAAGCTGTTGTTCCCTAGCACTGTTAAACCCCTCTGGGCTGGGGCTGAGGCTACAGCTGTGGCAGAAGCTATAGACCTGAAGGTGAGAGAGCCACCCTGGGCTGCAGATGCTGGGTCGCTCACTCAGGACCAAGGGCAGCATCCCTCTGGCCGTAGAGAGATCAGAGGGTCAAGGGGCAGCGTGGAGGCCGAAGAACACTGGGGCATTAGCAAGAGGTGGTGGCAGCCTGGACAGATGGTGGGGACAGGGCAGAAGGGTGATGTCCAGAGACGTGCGGGAAGTGGAGAGGGCAGGCTGGACACTGGACGTCAGGTGAGGGAGAGGAGGCTTCTGGTTACTCTAGTGGGCTGGCTTGGGAGCATCACCGAGACGGGGCTCAGGGGCAGAGAGGCTGGGCTTATTTTGGGGTGATAGCTGTGTCTGAGGGGTATTAGGAACAGGAGGTCCTGAAGGCAGCTGGACACACACATCTGGCCAGACGCTGGGGGTGGAGACTGTGTTGGGTGGGGAGAATGAAGAGGGAGGAGATACGAGTGGCAGGGAATGTGTGGGGACAGGGAAAGACAAGTTGCCAGGATAGATAGTATAAGTGGGTTGCCTGCCAGGTTTAGCCCCAGGAAGCGGTGAACCTGGGGAGGGCCGGTCACTGGGTGTGATGGATAGGGTTTCGGGGGGATGATCTGCTGTTCCAGGGTGTTTGGCTGAAAGGACAAAGGGAAGCATGGAGGCGTATGGAGGACACATGTGTCTAGATCAGCTCAGCAACCCCGTGGGCCTCTTTGGTGCCCCAGAACCCATTCCTGCCTCAGGAAGCTCCCAGGCATCAGGAGGGACAGGCATTGGGTGGCTGCGTCCCCCGTGCCCATGCCTGGCCACACTCACCATGGCACTCGGTGAGGGCAGGGCTGGGCCGGAAGCCCTCATCGCAGTCGCATCGGAAGCTGCCTGCGGTGTTGACACAGCGGCCGTTGGCACAGGGTCTGGGCTGGGTGTGGCACTCATCCTCATCTGACGTGGGACAGATAAGATAAGCCGGTGGGGAGGCCCCGAGCCTGCCTCCCCCATTTCAATGTCTGCCCGCCCGCCTGCTTCCTCTTGCTCTGACTTCTCCTCTCTGCGGGGCTCCCTGCACCCCCAAAGCCCCCGTACCTATGCAGCCCTCCCCAGAGCCAAGCTGGGGCTGCATGCCCGGGGGGCAGACACAGGTGAAGGTGCCAATGAGGTTCTTGCACAGCATGCCCCGGGTGTGGCAGTCCTGCTGGCCGTCTACACACTCGTCCACATCTGCAGATGACCAGGGATGGATGGTGGCCAAGGTCAGGCGCCCCATGGCCGGGCCCCAGGCTGTGGGGGCCTGGATCCCAAGTCGTAGGTGGCCTCAGGTGGGGCCCAAGTGAGGTTCCTGCAGCACTGCCAGGCTCCCGTCCCTCCCCTGCCTGGCCCAGGCCTCCTGAGACACCAAGGGGTCAGGGCTGTCCTGAACACCCACTTCGCCTGACCACATCAGGGTCTGTGAATCTGTCTGGCTTTCACCGTGCTCACTGGAACACTGACCCTGAAATAGCCCTAGAGGGGCCACATCTCAGCCCAGGGTGTCTCATGCTTGAAACTATGGACATTTGAGACCAGAAAATTCTCTGTGGTGGGAGGCTGTTCTGTGCATCGTAGGATATTTCACAGCATCCCAGGCTACTCAATGCCAGTATCACTCTCCCCACACATACCCAATGGAGACAATAAAAAATGTCTCCAGACATTGCCACATGTCCGCTGCGGGGCTTAATTGCTGTCCCCACTGCCCTATCCCACACAGGGCATGTCCAGCTGCCACCGGAGAGGCTTCCAGAGCCACGCCCACTGTGCTGTTAGACTCAGGACCCAAGATGCTAGCACCCCATTTTCATAACAGAAGCAGAGTCACCAGTTACAAAAGCACACTCTCTACACACTCATTTGCCTCACTCTCCCCTCGCCATATCACTTACTGTCCATTCCCACTCTTGGAGGCACAGGCTCTCATTTCTCCCTTTTTTCTCAGGATGGAGGCATGGGGAGCCCTGGGGGCCCTGACCATCCCGCCTGCCTGTGCAGGTTCTACCTTGGCACATGGACCCGTCCTCTCGCAAGGTGTAGCCGGCTGGGCAGGCGCACGTGTAGGAGCCTTCAGTGTTGAGGCAGCGGAAGGCACAAAGGAGGGGGTTCAGGGAGCACTCGTTGATGTCTGGGAAGGCCAGTGGAGGTGCCGGCTAGGCGGGGTCTGCCTGCGGGACCCCTACCCCCGCCCCTCCCCATCACACAGCCCAGGTCCTGGACAAGTAGGGTCGTACCCTCACAGGTCATCATGGGGCCAGGCTCAAAGCCATCAGCGCAGGCACATTCAAAGCCTCCGATGACGTTGGTGCAGGTGCCTTCCCCACAGGGGTGCCCGAAGGAGCATTCGTCTGTGTCTGGGGTGGAGTAAGGGGGAGGTCAGTGCCTGCAGAGAGCCCTTCATCCTCGATACTGTCCTGGCTGCCTTCCCACTGACGACCACACTGGACAGGGCCTGATCTGGTGCAGCTCTAGGCTGGACACAGGGCAGCATACGGTATGCCTTCAATGAATAAGTGAATGAGTGACTGAGTGAATGAGTGAACAAAGGAGTAAATGAGTGAACAAATGAGTGAGTAAATAAGTGAATGAGTGAGTAAATGAATGAGTGAGCAAGTGAATGAATGAGAGGGTGTATGAATAAGTGAATGAATGGATGAATACCTGTGTGTGAATGTGTGGATTAATGAGTGAGCAAGTGACTGACTCAGTAAATGAGTGAGTGAGTGAGTAAATAACAGAGAGAAGAAAGAGTGGGTGGGGAGAGTGACAGTAGTTGAGAGACAGGATCCTGCCTTGGGTTGTGTTTGCCCTGCCCCCGCTCTGCTCTTTTGTGAGATGCAGGCTGTCACTCACCCACACAACTGATGCCTGTGAAGTCCAGGCTATAGCCGAAGGGGCACTCGCAGCGAAAAGAGCCATCGGTGTTGACACAATGACCATTGGCACAGACACCAGGGTTCTCTGCACACTCGTTCACATCTGAGGATGGCAGAAGTTGCAGGCATGGCACCTGTCATACTCCAACCACACTGAGGGTCTCTTCCTTCCCTCCAGGCCAGTGGAGGGAAGGCCACCCATGGGCCAAGGGGCAACATGAGACTTGGTAACCCAGGTAGAGCCCAGATGGGGCTGAATGAGAAAGGAGTGGCAGCCCAGAGGGGCTCTTAGCATGTGGGTGAGGGACTCACCTTGCCGCGTCTCATCCGGGCCTGGGACTGCCCCATGGCCAAAGGGGCAGAGCTCCTGGAAGGCAGCTGGACAGCGAGAAGTGAAAGGGGTGAGGGTCAGGGGCCAGGTGCAGCCCTCAGGACTCCCCAAGAGGGTGTAGGGAAGGCTGAAGAAAGGAAGGCTGAAGAAAAGATGGGGGGCAGGCAAACAGAATCGGGGAGACTGGACAGGGTTGGTTGCTCACCACTGCCCTCCTGAGGACAGAGCTCGCAGGGGTCGTTCCAGCCCTCACCAGGCCTCTGGCTGCAACAGCACCGGCTCTTGGTGGTGTTGAAAGCTTTGGGCACCGAGCACCTTCCGCTTTCAAAATGGGTGAAGCAGAAACTCTGCCGTGTGTCTGTGGGATGATTCCCCAGAGAACTGCTGGAAGGGTGATCAGCAGTTCCCACCGGCCCTGCAGGCCTCTTCCACCCGAGTCCCTACAAGTGGGTGGTCCTGCCTCTACGAGCGACCCATCAGAACATTCCAGGCCCCTGACCATGGTGACTGGTTCAGAGATAGACATGTGACCCACACTGGCCCAAAGAGGGTTAGCCCGAGGGCTTTTTGCTGGACCCTTGGGAATTCCTTCTAGCAGCACTTTCACTGCTGTGGGAGTGCCCCCCGGGACAGGGAGAACGGTCAAACTCAGCCATGTTATTCTTGATCAGAAGCCCCTTCTTGGAGAGGCAAAGTGACTGATTCCAGGGAGCCAGAGGACCTCAGACTTCAGACTCCAAATTCTTGTCGCTGACCCCCAGTCCTCAGCCCCAGACTCCAATCAACCTGAGAAATCTTCATGGGCAGGTTGGGGTTTGGGCCAAACCTGGCACCAGAACAACAAATACTGGTAGCATTGTCCTGCTCGCCCCATTGTTACTCCCAACCTGGGGATAAAGAGGCTGGCTCAGATCGAATGAGGCTAGCCCACATTAGATAAGGCTACTCACATTGGATACGGCTAGCCCACCTGAGATGAAGCCAGCCCAGCTAAGGCAACTGCAGCCCACACAGGACAGCCCAAGCCCAAGAGACCAGGCTAGCCTAGACTGGACCAGGTTAGCCCTCCATAGAAAGGACCTGACTGGCCAAGAGATTGGTTGGACCAGGATAACCCCACTAATGCAGAAAAGGCCCTCTGTCGGGAAGAGGTCCAGGAGAGCTATACAAGAAACTGCAGCCCCCTTTTCTGGTTGATCTGACTCTTCCCCACCCTACCTCCCTCTCTTTCCGAAGCCCTGTGTACTCCCTGGCCCTGGACTCACCAAAGCAACGGCGTCCATTGTCAGACAGGACAAAGCCAGGCAGGCAGAGGCACTGGAAACTCCCAGGACTGTTGGTACAGGTGCCAAAGAGGCAGAGGTTGGGCTCCTCTGAGCACTCGTCGATGTCTGGAGAGGCAGGGACATGAACTGGGTGGGGTGCAAGCAGGACCCCCACCAGAGTGGGGCAGCCTCAGCTGTCAGGAGAGGTAGATGGAGTGGGGGCCCAGGGGCCCAGGAACTGACCCGGTGCAGTGGCCCTGGGGCTCAGTATGAGCCAGAGCAACAAGTGGGCAGTGTGTGGGGGGGTCTTTCCTAGAAGGTGTCTTCAGAGTAGGGGTCATGGTCAGGAAAAGTTCATCTTTAGAGACAAAATTTGTATAAAATAACTGAGACTAGATAAATTTAGCCTACACTGGATGGAGTTAGTTCACACTGTGTTAGGCCAGCCCAGATGGAATAGACCAGAGGTGGTCAGGCCAGACTGGTCCAGGTTAACCCACACTGTACAAGGCCAGATGGGTCTAAGTTAGCCCAGGTTGTACAGGCTAGCTGAGATGGATTAGATTGGTGGAGGCCAGGCTAGACTGGTCCAGGTTAATGTGCACTATATGAAGCTAGCCCAGATGGAAGACTGGAACAGAGGTGGTCGGGCCAAACTAGTCCAGGTTAGCTCAGAGTGTGTAAGACTAGCCCATATGGATTAGATTGGAGGCCAGGCCAGACTGGTCCAGGTTAGCCCAGGCTGTACAAGGCTCGTCTAAGTGGATGAATATACTACTAGAGGTGGACAGGCTAGACTGGTCCAGGTTAGCCCACACTGTACAGTCACCTAGATGGGGGACAACACCAGTGGAACTCAGGCCAGACTGACCTTGCCCATTACGCATCGAGTGAATTCTGTTTCGGTAATCTTAGGCGCAGTGAGACCCCACACCCATGGCCATTTTATAGGATTCACAAGGAAGCCTGTGGGCCCAAGACAGCGAGAGCCCTCAGCCTGGAGCCCAAAAATAATCCTAATAATTAAATTTATGCTTATAATACTGTGTGGAGATGTACTGGGTCTCATTCTGTGTGTCTCCACCCTCACCGTGATCCTAGCTGACATGCCTATGTTACAGATGGGGAACAGAGGCCCAGAGATGCCTCCCTGGCCCCAGAGCTGGGAAGTGGGGGCAGACACTCACCAATACAGCTGTCAATCTGCACCTGGAAGCCGGGGGGACAGATGCAGCGGAAGGAGCCCTCTAGATTCTGGCAAGTGCCTGGCAGGCAGGTTCCTGCGAGGCTGAGACACTCGTTGGTATCTGTGGAGAGGAGGAGGAGGGGTCCCAGCACCAGCTGGTGTCAGGGGGCTTGCCTGGGACCAGGACCAGCACCTACAGTCAATGCATGATGGGGCCCCAGGACAAGCCTTCTCTGTGGCAGTCCTGGAGCCAGGAAAGGGCTAAGACTCGGAAAAACTGGGGCAGGTAGGGATGGGTATTCTGAGTCCTGATGGGGGTCATGGGTGGGGCAAAGTGGTATCTAAGGAAAAAGAAAGCAAGGTTCCTAATCTTGAGCCACCTGAAGACCCCATTCACGGTTTCTATGGCATCCACTTAGCACCTCTATTATTCTGCATTTTGATAAACGTAGATTTTTAAAACAGCCTCACCCTCAACTACAAACCCTATGAAAACATGGGTATCATGTGCTGGTTTTATTTCTTCTTTTCATACATTAAAATAAACGCATGATTAAGAAATGGAACCATGATCATGCAGAAGTACCAACTGCATGTAAATTTGGAGCAGGGGCTAGCTGAGATGGCTCCCAGCACCATGCAAGACTCACCCATACAGTTCTTTCCATCAGCTGTGAGCTCAAAGCCATCCTGGCAGAGGCAGTGAAAGGAGCCAGCTGTGTTGAGGCACTGGCCAAATCGACACACCTCCCCTGCCAGGGTGGTACACTCATTCACATCTGCAAAGGAGAGATGGGCAAATGGGATCACCCACAGAAATGGGGCTCTGAGCCTCCCTTGCACTTCCATCCACAAGGAAGTTAAGGCAGTGACTTCAATTTATAGCGTGCTCACATGCCAGGCTCTGTACATTAGCCTTACAACTACTCTAGGAGGCAGATATCAATATTTTCCAATATGAGCTTTTAATGCTATGAATTTGCCTCTAGGTACTCCCTTGGTTGCAGCTCACACATTTCATGTTGTGTTTTCATCTTCATTTAATTAGAAATAGTTTCTAAATTCCCTTATTTCTTCTTTGACCTATGGATTATTTAGGAGTATATATCTTAATTTCCAAATATATGAGGATTTTATGGATAGCCTTCTGTGACTGATTTCTGGTTTAATTCCCTTACATTCTGAGGACTTACTTTGTGTGACTTCAGTTCTTTTAAATTTGTTAAGGCTTGTTTTATGGCCCAAACTATGGTCTTTCCTGGTGAATGTCCACATGCACTTGAGAAGAATGTGTTTTCTGGAATGTTCTAGAAATATCAGTCAGGTCTAGGTGGTTAACAGCGTTGTTCAGGTCTCCTATATCTTTACTGATTTTGTATTTGTTCCCTCTATTACTAAGGAAGGAGTGTTGAAATCTCCAATTATAACATAGATTTGCCTATTTCTTTTTCAGTTCTGTCAATTTTTACTTCATTTGTTTTGAAGCTCTATTGTTAGATGCATATGCATTTATGACTGTGATGTCTTTTTTTTGCAACAAAAACATAGACAAAATACGTCATGACTTTTCCGACAACCCAATATAATGTCTCTCCTTATCTCTGATAATATTCCTTGTTCATAAGTCTATTTGTTCTGCCATTAATACACGTAGTTACTATAATACTATTAATCTCCATTTTACTGGAGGAAACTATAGCACAGAGAGGTAAATGACTTGTCTAGGGTCACACAGCTGGCAGGTGGTAAAGCTAGGATTTGAAGTTACACCACCTGGCCTTGGAATCCATGCTTTTAGCCACTGTGCTAAACTGCCAGCATCACAGCACCCAGGTCTTGCTTCACCCTTCAGCTTCCTCTCTCTACCGTCCATCTGCCTCCCATCCCCCTGAGTGTAAGCTCTAGTGAGGGACCCCTGGCATCTGACAACTAAAGAGGTATGGGGAACTTTGTGGTTGACTTGTTTTCAATCCCCTGGGGTTGTTTTTCTGAATGGATTCCTGGGGCAAGAGCCTTTATTTCAAAGGGACACCCTCAAGCCACAGACCCACTTTTCAGTGGGGTACACCGAGGTCTACCTGCCAGCCCACATGACTCACCCATGCAATCTCCATTGTGTGTCATCACAAAGCCAGGGAAGCAGAGGCAGTTGTAGGAGCCAACGATGTTCTTACAGGTCCCATTTCCACATGGCTGCCGGTCACACTCATCAATGTCTGTCAGAGCAAAGCCCCCGATCCCTGCCCAGCTCACCCAGGGCAATGAGCAGCTCAGGCAGTGAGGGGCTGGGAAGCATCCTTGCTACTATTTATTGCCCCCATTTTACTGATGGGAAAACTGAGGCACAGGGAGGTGAGTAAGTCATTTTACCAATGTTTTAAGTGCCAGGATGGATAGAAGTACTGTCTCCACCCCAGAGGAGTGCACACTTGGCCGCTCGGTCTGCAAAGGGGGTCAGGAAGGAGCTCTCACCCATGCACAGGGTCTGGTCCACCGAGGCCCGGAAGCCACGGTGACACAGGCATGCGTAGCTGCCCTCTGTGTCCACACAGTCACCGTGGCTACAGACATTTGGGATCTCCTGACACTCGTTCCGTCCTGGAAAACAGCGGGCAGTGTGTCCCCAGGACCACGACCCCAGTGTTTCCTAAGCCTTTGCATGCTGTGATGGGAAAGCCAGTACCTGCCTGCAAGCCCCCCATTCGAGCTGCTGCCAGCACCAAGCTCTCTACCCCCCATTTCACCCTCATTACTCCCCTGTGAACAGATGCTCTCGGCACCCCCACCAGCCCATACTCCAGCCAAGGAGAAAAGTCTGGACAGAGCCATGCCCTACCTTAGTCACAGTGGACAGAGCCTGGCTTTGTCTCGTATCCCACTCCCTTACTTCCCTACCCTGCACCTGCTGGGGTCCCCACTTACCCACACAAGCCCCGCCTGGCAACAGCTTGTACCCTCGGGCGCATTGGCAGCGGTAGCTGCCAGGGATGTTAATGCAGTCGGCACTCTGCTGGCAGGGGCTCTCCCCGCTGGCACATTCGTCCACATCTGGGGAATACGGCCAATGGGGATGGGTAAAGGAGAGACCTTCCCTGCCATAATAAAATCCCAAACCCAGTTCCTGGCTTTGGAGTGGGTGGTCCCTCCGGAGCAGCCAGAATCAGAGTGAGGTTGGTTATGTGGGATGAAGCCCCTCGAAAAGGCGTTAGTTCCAATGAGCAGAGGGGGAAACCGAGGTTCACAGAGCTTAAATGACGTGCCCAGACGGTATGGCGTGAGGGTCCAGCATCCCACCCAGGGATGGGAGAACGGGGAGGGCGGCACCTTCACAGATCAGCAGCACACTGTTGTAGCTGAAACCCGTGGGGCACTCGCAGCGGAAGCTCCCAATCTGGTTGATGCAGACCCCGCTGGCACAGATGGCAGGGATCTCGCCACACTCGTCGATGTCTAGGGAGGGTGCCAGCATCAGGGGCAGCCCAGCCCCCGGGAACACCTGAGGACCCTGAGCTAAGGGACCTGCAGTCTGGGAGAAGAAGCGGCCCCACACCAGCACACGCTGGAAAAGTCCTGCTGTAGCCAAAATGAGATCAGAATGTGGGAGGAAAGACTAGAGCAGGGGAGACAGTCTTTGAATGACAACTAAAAACACATTTGCTGTGGCCCAGCAAGCCTGCTTTGAGGGGGTCTGCTGGAGTAAAGCAGCCAGCCCTGTGTGTCGGCAGGAAGCTGCATGGGGAAGTCCTGGGACAATGTTTAGCAAGAAACTGAACATGTCAACGGATGAATGGAGAACACAGTGTGGTCCATCCACACACTGGAATGTTACTCAGCCTTAAAAAGGAGGGAAGCGCTGACACTCGCTACAATGTGGATGGACCTTGAACACACGGTGCTCAGTGAGAGAAGCCAGACATAAAAGGTCACGTTTCATGATTCTATTTATATGAAATGTCTAGAAGAGGCACATCCAGAGATGGAAAGTAGAATAATGGTTGCCAGCGCCTGGGGGAGGACAGAATGGAGAGTGACTGCTCATGGCGACGGAGTCTCTCTTTGTGTGATGAAAATGTCCTAAACTTAGATTGAGGTGATGGTTGCACAACTCTGAATACAGTTGACCCTTCAACAGCAAAGGTTTGAGCTGCAGTTATACATGGGTTTTTACACCAGTAAATACTGTAAATGTATTTTCTCTTCCTTATGATTTTCTTAATAACACTTTCTTTTCTCTAGCTTACTTTATTTTAGGAGTACAGTATTAATACATATAACATACAAAATATGTGTTACTTGACTGTTGGTTATCGGTAAGGCTTCCAGTCCACAGTAGTTAAAATTTTAGGAAATTTGGGGAGTTGAAAGTTATATGAGGATTTTTTACTGCAGGTCGGCACCTCTAACCCCCATGATGTTCAAGGGTCTATTATACACAAAAAACCCACTGAATTGTGTACTTTAAACAATGAAGTGTATGGTATGTGAATTATATCTCAATAAAGCTAATATTGTAAAAAAAAAAAAAGAAAAGAACCTGGGCACACCTTAGTGCTCATCATCTGTGGGGGACTGGCTTCTGACCCAGGACATGACTACACATGGAATATACTAGAAAGCAGGGCCAAGGGGGAAGAAGGCTTACATATAGTCACCTGGCTGATTCTTCACAACTTATTTCTGAGTGAAAAGAGAAAGTTATAGAACAATATGTGGGGAATCATAGAATTTCTGTCAAACTTCCCAGAAACGAAAGCCACACATTTTCAGTGGGAAACTTCTATGTGTATTTAAATGCAGGAAGAAAGAACTAGAAAGAAATATTCTGGGCATAAAGCACGGGAACCTTAAGAGAGTGTGAGGGGGGCTTAGATTTCAGGTGGTGACTGGAGGGGAAGTATTGTAGAACTTATCTGCCATGTTCCAATTGTTTAAAATAAGGAAAATACATCCATGGGGTGAAAACCACTGGAAATGAGTTCACAATTAAACACCACACAGCTGAAATTTGGCATTTAGGTATTAAATTGTACAAAACCTCATTAAACTTAAGAAGGAAGCATTCTGACTGCGATACAGATGCAACCCGGATGAACCTTGGGGACATTATGGTCAGGGAAATAAGTCAGACACAAAAGGACAAATACTGTGTTCGCTTACATGAGGTCAGATTCACAAAGACAGGAAGTAGACGGTGGTGCCAGGGGCTGGGGAAGGGGAGGAGAGTGAGTGTTTAATGGGGCAGAGCGTCAGTTTGGGAAGGTGAGAAAGTTCTAGAGATGGGTGGTGGGGATGGTTGCACAACAATGTGAGTGTACATAATTAATGCCACTGAGCTAACATTTAAGAATGGTTAAAGTGGTACATTTTATGTTATGTGTTACTTTATCAGAAGTTTTAAAAATGAACAATAATAAAAATACTCTTATGTTGCTTTTTTAAAATAATGGGAAGTGTCTAGGGGCAGGATTCCTGGCCTGGGGGGTTGGAAATACAGAGGGGCATGGAGTGGAAGAGGTTGAAAGGGAATGAACTGTGGGCGGGGGAAGGGAGCAGTCAGGACTCTCAGGACAGAGAGGCCTAGAGCTTTGGGCTGGGGGGCAGTGGCCACTCACCGAGGGACTTCCCCGTATGGATGTCAATGACGAAGCCGGGGACCTGGTTTCCGCACAGGACCTGGTAGTCCACTGGGCAAAGGAGAATAGGGTGGGGATGCTAGGCTGCAGTCTCCCTGGGAGGACACCTCCTCTTCCTCCTCTTCCCAAACCCCCTATCACCTCCTCTATCCCTGGAGTCCAGCTCTCATTTGGCCTCTGGTAACTAATCCCTCTCCCTCCACCGACTTTGACCAGCACTGATAGGGTTAAACCATCCACCTGGGCAGCGTGACCTTCCAACACACAGACATGACCTCCACCATCTCTTCCCTGCCTGAGCTCCACCAACCACACCCCACTTTGCTATTCCCTAGCATAGCCCACTTTAACCTTGAGGACTCAGGATAGCCCACAGGGAAGAAAGAGTCCCTTAGGCTCCCCCTGACCTGCCACTCTCACCCCAGAGAGCTGATGGCACCACCCTTGGCTAAGAACACCTCCGGGGTAATTCATTCTCTAATTATATCCCACTGTTGACACCAAGATGCTGCCTGCCCAACCTCAATCTCCAAGAAGGGTAGGTGACCCTGGACCCACCTGAGAGATGTGTGGGCAGGCATTTGGGCAGTGCCACCTTGCCACCTGTCCCTAGGTCCTTGCCCTGGCCCTCACTATTCTGCCTGCATTGTGATGAGAATGGACCAATCTCAGCAGCCCCTTTGCTGGTGTGAACTTCTGCCTTGTGTTATTACACTTGCACCTCAGATTCAGGAGCACAAGATCCGGGCGGGTACCTAAGTCCCAGCACACAATCCATGGATGACATTTGATCTGATCTGTCTTGACAGACTTGTGATCAGAATTGGCTCTTTGCAGCTTCCTTTCAGAATGCACAACTTAGGTATCTTATTCTTGATCCCTAGAACCCAAAACAGGGCCCAGCAGTATCCAGAGATGCCCAGTAATGACTCCTACCCATTGCACTCCACTGGTTTGAACAATGACCCCCTACTCCAAGTTCATGTCCACTTACAACCTCTGAATGGGACTTTTCTTGGAAATAGGGTCTTTGCAGATGTAATCAAGTTAAGATGAGGTTGTCTGGGATTGGGGTCGGCACTAAATGCAATGACTGGTATCCTTATAAGGAGAAACATGGAGACTAAGGGAGAAGCCATTGGAGATAAGGCAGAGATCAGGGTAATACAGCTACAAGTCAAGTTAACACAGAGACACCTGGAGAAACCAAATGCTGAAAGGGGCAAGGAAGAATCTTCTCTGAGCCTCTGGAAGTAGTATGGCCCTGCCAACACTTTGATTTCTGACTTCCAGCCTTCAGAACTGTGAGAAAATACATTTCTGGGTACTTTAAGCCACCAAGTTTCTGGTAAGTAATTTGTTACTGCAGCCTTAAGAACAAATTGCCTCAGTCTGGGGTGCTATAACAAAATACCATAGACTAAGTGGCTTAAACAACAAACGTTGATTTCCCACAGTTCTGGAGGCTGGAAGTCCAAGATCAAGGCACCAGCATATTCAGTGTCTGGTGAGAGCTCTCTTCCTAGTTTGCAGATGGCCACCTTCTTGTTGTGTCCTCACATGACAGAGAAAATCTCTCTCGTGTCTCTTCTTATAAGAGCACTACTCCCATTCATGAGGGCTCCATCCACATGAACTAATGACCTCCCAAAGGCCCCACCTCTAAATACCATCACAGGTTAGGGTTTCAACATATGAATTTTGAGCAAACACAAAAATTCAGTCAATAGCACTAATATAACTATAACCCTGTAGTTGCCCCCTTCTAATCACTGCTCCATTCGTGCAGCACTTTCTGATATCTGGGCTGGCTGCTAGATCATTCTAATAGGTCTTGTCTTAGCTGCCAAATGGTCTACTGCTCAGTCCTGCCTCCAGGCCTTTGCTCATGCTGTTCCCTGCCTGGAACCGCCTTCTTCATCCTGACCAGCACTCAGCAATCCTCCCCAGAGCTTTCCCCTGTTTTCTGTAATCAGTTGTGCTTTATGACCTGGCCCCAGACATTCATTGACCCCTCGAAATAGTCTGTGGGCCTTCAAGGACCTTTACCACAAAAGAAAGCCTCACCGATCCATCTCGAATTCCCCAAATCTGTGACATAGAAAGGAGGATGCCTCGCCCATCCAAAAAGTACTGATTTCCATATATTGGGACATAACTTAAAATTCTTTAGCTCTCATAAGAACAATGTAGACTAATCAGGGAGCCCAAAGTAAGGTGGGCCCCCTTAAACATTACACTAAGTGCCAAGCTTAACAGGTGGGGGAAGGGCACTCACGACTGGCAGGGGTGGGGCAGGCCTGGCAGGGTCTATTCCAGGCCTGGCCGATGTTGTAGGAGCAGCAGCACATCTTCCGGGTTATGTTAAAAGCCAGCTCATTCCGACATGTGCCGTTATAATGTCGGAAGCAGATGCTCTTCCTCATGTCTGCAGTTGGGTTTGGGGGAAAAATATAGTAAGAGACATTCAAGTGAGAGGAAGGGAGAGCCAGACAGATAGGAACTCATTCACAAATCCATTTGAAAATGACTGGCTTGATATCTCTACCCCAGCACACTTGAAAGTGACATTCACTTTTTAGCCTTTGTTGGGCAGTGCACAACCTGGACAACTATTTATGACAACCCTAGGTCCCTGAGCCCTGCAGCTTTGGTCACTGCTGTGTACCAGCATCTCAGATACATGCACCCTCCTCTCTTTCCTCCCACAAACACATCTCTCCACACTCTTTCAAGGCTTAGAGACTCCCAGAAGTTTCTCCCACACCCAAGTGCTGCTTCCACAATGGCCAGTGTCCCCTGTCACCATACTTCGTACCCATGCAGTTGTTGCCACCATTGACTTGCAGGTACTCTGCAGGGCAGACACACGTGTAGTTCCCCAAGGTGTTGTAGCAGGTACCAGGACCACAGATGCCAGAGTGTATGGAGCATTCGTCAATGTCTGTAGGGAGGGAGGAGTAGCATTCAGGAACTGTCTGGATAAACTCCCACTCCGGGTCTAGCGGAGCCACTTCACGTGGGCTTGAGTTTGGTGTCAAGATTAGCTTAAAATGCAGAAGACATTTTAGTGACGTGGGAAGATACGACATGGTGTTAAGTGGAAAAACAACGGTTACTATGATCCCACTTCTATTAAGAAAAAATATGATCTGAGCCCATGCATTAATTATAATATGACCAAGAGTGGGGCAACCGCGGGCTTCCTAATGTGCTGTGATAGGAAGCAAGAGCCCCATGCATAAAGTATTCCTATGTCAAAAAAATAATATAAATGAAGCCATTTTAGAAGTTGGAGCTGCCATCCCAGGGGAACTGCCTTGCACTCTGGTGCCTCAAACCTTTGGAATGTTAAAACAGGACAAAATAACCTTTGGACTGAGCCTAAAGCAACATTGTGCCCCAAACAACTGTTTACAAAGATAATAAGAAAGCAGATATGATGACTCCTGGATGATAACTATAGACTCAAAATTAAAAACATTGCTAGCTTATCGGCACCAATAGAAATGCCCTCCTGCTATTAATGTAATTGTTCCCCTTCCCTTTCTCATAAATACCTCTTGCCTTTGTCTCCTGATCGGATCACTATTTGGGTTTTGGCTTAAATCAGTGCTCCCTGAATAGCTATTCTTTTTTTAAAATCTCAAGTAAAGGCTTGTTCCCTTTCACTTTGAAAGGCCTTTTACTTTTAGGTTAGCATTTAGAAAAAAAAAAAATTGACTCTCAATCTGATCAATCCTGTAGCCCAGAGGTAGCAAAATTTTTCTGTAAAGGGCAGATAGTAAATTATTTTCAGTTTCATGTCCCCAACAATGGTCTCTGACACAGCTATTCACTCTGCCATTATAGTGTAAAGGCAATCATAGACAATGGGTCAACAGATAAGCATGGCTGTATGCCAATAAAACTTGATTTATGGGCACTGAAATGTGAATTTCATGCAATTTTCATGTCACAAAATATTCTTCTTTTGATTTTTTGACCCATTTAAAAATGTAAAAAGTATTCTTAGTGGGCTATATAAAAACAAGTCAGAATATTAAATGACAGAGTAGGGAACACCAGGGCTCCATTTCTAAACAAAAACAACTATTGAGCTGGCAAAAAAAAAAAAAAAAAAAAAAAAAAAACTTTTGCAGGACTCTGGAATCTAGCCAAAACTTACAACAATCAGGGGATTTGATACATAGGAAATCCTAAAGAATCCATAAAATACAAACTATTGGAGCTAATAAATGAGGTCGGCATCATTGCAGAATATGAGATCAACACACAAATATTACTTGTATTTCTATATACTACCAATAAATTTAACAAAAGAAGTGAAAGATATACAATGAAAACTATAAAACATTACAGAAAAAACTTGAGAAGACCTACATAAATGGAAAGACACCTGTGTAAACAGATTAGAAGACTTATTTTTAAGATGCCAGTACTTCCCAAAGCGATTTACAGTTTCAGTGTAATTACTCTCAAAATCCTAATGACTTCTCTTTTTTTTTCAGAAATGGAAAAACGGATTCTAAAATTCATTTGGAATTGCAAGCAATGCCAAACAGCCAAAACCATCTTGGAAAGACAAAAACAAAGAGGATTCACACTTCCCAATTTCAAAACTTACAATGCTACAGTAACCAAAACAGTATGGTACTGGCATAAGAATAGACCTATAAATCAAGGGGATAGAATTTAGAGTCCAGAAACAAACTCATTTGTTTATAGTCAATTGGTTTCCGACAAGTCCATTCAATGGGAAAAAGAAGATTCTTTTCAATAAATGGCACTGGGACGATTGGATCTCCACATGCGAAAGAATGAAGTTGGACCCCTACCACACATCATATACAACACAAAAACTCAAAATTGATAGAAGACCTAAATGTAAGAGCTAAAACTACAAAATTCTTAGAAGAAAACATGGGTACATGTTAATGACCTTGTATTTGGCAGTGGATTCTTAGGTATGACACCAAAGGCACAAGCTAAAAAAACAAAAACGAACACAAAACTGATAAACTGGACTTCATCAAAATTAAAACTTGTGTGTATCAAAGGGCACCATCAAGCAAGTGAAAAAGACAACCACAGAACAGGAGAACTATTTGCAAATCATATACCTGACAAGAGTCTTATATCCAGAATATATAAAGAGCTCTCACAACTCAACAACAAAAAGACAAACAACCCAATTTAAAAATGGGCAAAAAACTTGAATAAACATTTCCCCAACAAAGATATGCAAATGACTAATAAACACATGACGAAATGCTCAACCTCATTAGTCATTAGGGAAATACAAATTAAAACTGCAATAAGATACTACTTCACACCCACTAGGATGGTATAACTTTAAACAATGGGGGAAAAAATGTTGGTGAGGATGTGGAGCAACTGGCACCCTCATACGTTGCTGGTGGGAATGAAAATGGTGCAGCCACTGTGGAAAAGTTTGGCAGTTCCTCAAAAAGTCACACACAGAATTACTATACTACCCAGTGATTTTAGGAGCGAGACAAACTGTTCGACAAGGATGGGCTACAGAATTTGCTCAGTGCAAAATGAAAACCAGGGCTTCGTTGTTCAAAATACATCAAGAATTTCAAGATAGTGATGGCAGAGCATTAAACCAAGCCAGGGGCCTTTGAGTCTGACTGCTGGGAAGGGCTGCAAGGACTGGAGCCTTCAAGTGCACAAACTGGCTCTACAAGGCTGCACATCCAAGGTCAACATTCAGGTTAAAGTCTCCCCACCCTGTGACAGTCAAGAAACTTGGCACACCACCATTATTTGTTGACGGTGATTGTCTCTTTTTCTGTTGATATTTTATGGCAGTGGTTCTCAACCTGTGGGTCGCGACCCCTTTGGGGGTCGAACGACCCTTTCACAGGGGTCGCCTAAGACCATCGGAAAACGAAAAGATATTTACATTACGATTCATAACAGTAGCAAAATTACAGTTATAGAGTAGCAGCGAAAATAATTTTATGGTTGGGGGTCACCACAACATGAGGAACTGTATTAAGGGGTCGCGGCATTAGGAAGGTTGAGAACCGCTGTTTTATGGGATGGGGGAGACTGGGAGGAATGAGATATTTTTCAAGAATTTTGGGTTCTGATTCTGGATTGACAGCTCCCACCTTCATGTACAGAGGAAATCAGTTTTTGCATCTTAAATCTTTCTCTCCCTTTACCATTTCTTTGAGTTTCTAAACAGTGCTGCTCAGAGCAAAAGATATGTTGTCCATGTGAGCTGGTGTTAGTGTCTGGTTGGATGTAGGTATTCAGCTAATATTGTTGAAAGAAAAAGAATGGATTGATGGATGAATGAAGAATAAATGAATAAATGAATTTGGTACACTGCATTAAAGAGTTCTGGCTCAAGGATCAGAACGGTTGGGCTCAAAGCCAGTTTCCATCACTTATTAGCTGGTGCCTCTCAACAAGTCGCTTAACCTCCTTGAGCCTTGGCTGCTACATTTGAAAAATGGGATCATAATAGGAATCTCTCCCTCTTGGGGCTTTTGTAATGAATGAATGCCAGATGTGGATGCGCACAACAGTGGTGACACACGGGCACAGATACCAGTTAACTGTTGGTTGTTTCTATGATGCTCAAATGAGAACAATAAGAAGACAAGTGAAGTGATGCTTGAAGGAAAGGTGGAGCCATTCCTTCTGTGTCTTTCCCTTCCCACTTTTTGCTCTGGACCTTGGTCAGCTTTTGCCCAAAGGAGGAGGTGAGTGACTGCGGTAGTAAAGCCAGGTCATTTCTGAGTGGGAAGGAGGTTCATGGTCAGGCAACTGGGAGAAGGGAGCAAAACAGAGTGTAGACTGAGGCATGCATTGAAGCCTTCCCCACCCTTCCAACGGGCCTCAGGCAGCAAGGCAGGTGAGCAGGCTATTACAGGCATTTCAGACCCCAGTACCGGAGGAGGAGGAGGAGATGAGGCTGGGCGGGAAGGCAGGGTGGGCAGGGAGAGTCCAGGCTCACCCTCACAGATGCGGGTGTCCTCATGGAGGTGGTAGCCAGGTGGGCACTTGCACTGAAAGCTGCCAAAAGTGTTGACACAGTCGCCTCCCTGGCACAGCCCTGGCAGTTCCTGGCACTCGTCAATGTCTGTGAGGAAGTGAGAAGGTCGTGCTTGGAAGCTAACCCCAAGCAGAGGACTCAGGGATACCCATGCCCTGCCCTGGGCTGCCTATGGCCCTGGAGGAGGCGGTCCTGCTTCTTCAGGAATACCTGGAAGCTGTTGGATATTTGGAGGGTTCAGGCCAGGGCCTATCTTGGAGGCCACACCCAGACTCTCTTGGGTCAACGTCACCCTGAATTCATCCCCTTTTCCTTCATCCCATCCATCCATCCATCCATCCATCCGTCCATCTGTCCATCCGTCCATCCATCCATCACATAGTTCCCTCTTAATGGAACTCTCCAATCTCATCATACCCTGTGGATAGAAGGATGGATGCATGTATGCATGAGTAGGTAGGTGGATAGATAAGAAAAGTAGCGGATGAGTAAATAAGCAAGAGTGTGAATGGACAAAAAATAGATGAGTAAATGGATGGATGGTTGGGAAATGAAGGATGGGGAATGAATGGATGGGTAGCTGGATAGGTGACTAGGTGGATGGATAGATATAAAAAGTAATGGATGAGTGAAGAAGCAAGTGGGTCAACAGACGAGAAGATGGATGAGTATATGGATGAATTGGTTAGTAGATGAATGAATAAATAAATAAATTAATGGGTAGATGAGCAGATGGATGGATGGATGGATATGAAAAGTAGATGGGTGAATAAGCAAATGAGTCAATGAACGAAAAGATGAGTGAGTGGATGGATGAATGGACAAATGGGTGGGTGGGTAGGTAAGTGAGTAGATGGATGAATGGATGGATGGTAGATGAGTGGATGAATAAATGTATGGATGAATGTATGTATTTGGATGGATGGATGGATAGAAAGAAAGAAGGAAGGGTGATGGATGCATGGGAAATGGATGTATGGATGGGGGACGAATGGATAGATGGATGGATATGTGGATGGGGGATGAATAGAAGAAAGATAGATGAATGGGTGGGTGATGGATGGATGAAAAACCAACAGGTGAAAGAAAAGCCAAAAAATTCACCACAAACTAAAAGCACAATTTGGTCTCACTGCCTGGCCTCTGGGCAGGAGGATCTGGGCCTCCCCAAACTGCCCAACTCTGCATGATGGTGAGGCAGTGATGAAAGAAAGGTCAATTGATGGATGGCTTGCCAGGAACTCACCTTCCAGAATGACAGTGATGGGATTGGGCCGGAAACCCTCGCCACCTGGGCACAAGGTTCTGTACTCAGCTGCAAGGGAAACAGGCTCTTGTGAAGGGTGTGGGGCAGGGCACTCTGGCAAAGCCCAGGGGAAGCAGGGGAGGGGGGGACCCCTAAGAAGGGCTCAAGAGTAAGTCCTGCATTCCTTTATCACACCAACTACATCCTTTTACCTCCTCAACCTCTTGGGGCCAGGACACATTGGCCAATCCTGAGGCGTCTGCATTTGTGTATGTGTGTGTGTAAACATGTTCACATGCGAGCAGATGGATCACGTGGCAGTAGCTGGAGGTGGGGAGAAGGAATTTCTAATTCCTTCTGTCCAAAAATCAGACCCTAGTGTGATCTCAACTTTCTCCCATGAAAGGAATACCCTGGCCTCTCTCCTTCCCTCCCCCAACCTCTCTCTCTCTCACACACACACACTCCTCTGAATAGATGAACAGGTACCTTCCTGTTTCACAACTGAGACTTCTGCACATGTTGTTCCACTGCATTGTACACCCTTCCCTCTACACTGCCTAGAAAACTCCTACTCATCCTTCAAAACCTCATTCAAGCCTCCTGCCTTGGGATAGTTTCCTTTACCCCCTTCCTCTTCAGGCTTTCTTCTGAGCCATCATTGTGCCTCAAACAGACCCTTACAACAGCTCAACTCTCAGTCCTGGGGCCGTTGGTTTATGGGTGAGAGGCAGTGTACAGCTGCTGTGGCTTGTCCTTTTCTGGGTCCCCAGACCCTAGCAAAGGGCACAGAGGAACCCTCAATATTTGTTTGACTGAGGAGTGAATATCAGTACACAGAGAAGAATATGAAGGAAGGGATGGCAGAAAGACATCTTGGAGAGACATCCAGACAATGAACTTCCTAGAATACACTGTGTGACCCAGAGCAAGCTTCCTCCCTCTCTGGGTCCCAGTGTCCTTCCCTTAGCAGAGATGACCTTCTAAGCTCCAGAGAGACCCAGACTGGGGCTAGGTGTCTGTGGCTTAGGCTACAGTGCTCGCCTGTTCCCCATCCCTCGGGACTCACTGGTGTTGCCCATTGGGCATAGCTCGCAAGGGTTGCCCCAGGCTCGGCCCAGCGAGCAACAGCAGGATGCTCGGGTGACGCCAACCCCGATCTCAGCACTGCAGGAAATGCCACCATCCCCTCGGTCGTGCGTGTCCAGGAAACAGTTTCCAACCCGGGTGTCTGAATAAGCAGAAGGGATGGTTAGCAAATGGCAGAGAAGAAATGGTGTGTGTGTGTGTTTGCACCTCTGTGTGTGTGACTGTGTGCATGTGTGCCTATGTGCCTGTGAGTGTGTAACTTTGAGTCGCTGTATGTATCTCTGTGTGTGAAACTCTGTGTTTGGATAACTGTGTGTGTAACTGCATGTGTGTGACTGTGCATGCCTCTGTGCGTGTGTGTGTGTCAGATGGGTGTTTCTGAACAAGAAAAATCAAGACGTGTGTGTGTGTGTCTACAGCAGAAGGCTGTATCTCAACAGGCGACCATGTGTGTGTGTGTGTGTGTGTGTGTGTGTGTGTCTACAGCAGAAGGCTGTATTTCAACAGGCAACCAGGACGATCACTTTGATTGGGAGCCAGCAAAGGTCTTGTTTGTCAGGAGCAGGTGGATTTGAACAGGTTGACAGGCCAGGGTGACCAAGATGTAGTCCCACCCAGCTCATGGATTCCAGAACCCCAGCTGGAGCTGAGTACATACTCACCCACACAGCCCACCCCACTGGGGTTTAGCTCAAAATCCTGAGGGCAGTTGCAGAGGTAGCTCCCGGGGGTGTTGACACACAGGCCATTGATGCAGTTCACCGGGTCTGCACACTCATTGACATCTGTGAGGTGGGGGCACTGTTAGCAGGGAGCCCTCCCTTGGCTCACATCCCTCCCACCTTCCTTCTGGGAAGCCAAATCCCTGTATGTTGGGGACCTGGTTGCAAGCCATGTCCTCCCCTGGGAAGAACACCAAGGGAACAGCAGCCTCCAAAGTCTGCCCTGCCCCATAACCAACATCTAGAACATGCTGTCAAACCAGACATTGGCAGACGACAACCTGTGGGCCAGATTCAGCCCTCTGCTTGTGTAAATAAAGCTTTATTGGTACATGCCCATTCAATTTCATATTGTCTGTCTGCTTTCGAGTTACAACAACAATGGAATAGCTGTGATAGAGACAGTATGGCCCAAAATAAAAAATATTTTCTATCTGACTCTTTACTGAAAAATTTTGCCAATTCTCATTTTAGACACACAGGTGCGAGACCATTCGGACAGCTGGTAGAGGGAGCATGCCTTCATTCATTCATTTACTGTGTTTATTCAGGGGAGGACAGGTGACAATAAGGGTTAATGGAAACAGGGATCAATCAGTCAGACAAGGCCTAACCCAGGAGAGGACATTCGAGAAGAGATCTGAGGGCAGTGAGGAAGCGAGCCGTGCCCCACCCCAGCCCCCACTCCTACGTCCCCCACACACCACTGACCCACCTGTGCAGTTGCCACCACTGCGGTCCAGCTCATAGCCCTCATCACAGACACAGCGGAACATTCCAAGCAGGTTCTCACAGCTCCCGAACACACAGAGGTTTCCCAGAACGCACTCATCCACGTCTGTGGAGATCCCAGGTCAGGCCGTCCCCGCCTGCGGGGACCCACTGGCTCTGTCCCTCACCCCGGCCACCCCGGTCCTTACCCTGGCAGGTACGGCGGTCCTCTGAGGGGTTGAAGCCCATCTCACATTCGCAGCGGTACCCACCGGGGGCATTAAGGCACTGTCCGTTCTCACAGAGGTCCACGTCCTCCGCACATTCGTCCCTATCTGAGGGGCCCCGAGAGGCAGAGGGTTGGGGGCCAGCTGGCCAAGACCCACGCAAGGCAAGCAGATGGCCTTGGTCACTTGAACCCTTCACTGTCACCTGAGGTTCTAGTAACTCTGGGAACTCGGACTCTGACTTGGTAAGCAGGTGACCAAGTCAGCACCAGGGGGCTAGCAGAGAGGGGACTGGTCACTGGGACTCCAGCCAGGGGGCAGACAGCAGATCTAGACACTCAGGATCCAGGGCGGAGGGTCACAGAAGTAAGTAGGTGTTCCTGCTCCCCACATCCAGAAGGTTCCATGCATTCAGAGTCCAGGGTGGGAGACTGCCCCAGTGACTGGGCCTGGTCTGCAGCCCCGCCAGCTGGAGGCACATCCTCCCCAGCACCCACGGAGCCAGGAGTGGAACAGTGTGAGTCAGGAAACCAACTGACCACGATGGCTACCTTGAAACCCAACCCCCAAGGCTGTACCTCTTGGGCCCCTCCTGCTTTCCAACCCCTCCCCAATCTCACCTTCACAGAAGAAACCATCCCCGGTAAAGCCTGGGCGGCAGGCACAGCGGTAGGAGCCGGGGACATTGAGGCAGTCGGCGCTTGGGCTGCACTGGTGCTCGTGGAAGGTGCATTCATCTAGGTCTGCAGGAGACAGGGCCAGAGCTCCCACAAGGGTGTGCATTGGGGAGATGCAGGAGGCAGACCCTCCAATCTTGGCCCTGACTGGCCCCAAGGGCACCCCTGAACCCCTTCCCCCTGGCCCTACCTCCCACCTACCTCAGCTGCTCTGCCCAGACCTCCTGCCCCCAGGCACTTACCGTGGCATTCGAAGCCATCCCCCACCCAGCCTGGCTGGCACCTGCAGCTGAAACTCCCGGGGACGTTGAGGCAGGAGGCGTGGCTGTCACAGCTGTGTCCCCCAAGCTCACATTCGTCCACATCTGAGAGAAGAAGTACCCAGTCACAGCATGGGCAGAACCAGGAAGGGAAGAGGGACATAGCACCCCCAGGAGGTCTGGGCCTCGTAGAAATAGGGCAGAGTGGGGAGACTCAGTATAGCAGTAGGGGAAAGAGTAAGGACCTCCTTAGGGGACGGCTGAGCCAGATATGTCCCCACCACTCCAGGCGTTTCCACCTTCACCCAGAGCCCAAGAGGAAAACCCCAAAACCCAACAGGGAAGACTCCCAGCAGCCCTCAGAAATAGTCTGAAATGGCAGCATGACTTAAGGTAGACTTAAGACACCAAGAGTTAACTGTCCTACACCTGAAACTAATATAATAATGTATGTCAACTATAATTGAAAAATAAATTTTAAAAAAGAGTAATTGTCCTAATGTACATGCACCCTCTGTAAAGCAGAAGATCCTTCTAAACTAGCATTTCCAATCCTTAGCCAATTTTGCATCACCTTTATAACCGGCAATGTTCATACACCACCTAAGAGAACCACTGTTTACTGAATGTTTCTTTACACTACTGCCTCTCATTTTTACTTATGTAAATGTATTAAAAAAAAAATCTTACATCAACACCAACAGTCTCCAAGAAGTCATGGATCTGATCCTCTGTTACACAATGTTTGATTCTGGTATGTGTTAAAATAANACCTATTTCTCAATCAATCTCTCTCTCTCTCTCTCTTCACCCCCCACCCCCACCCCTGATCAGCAAATGAAAAGAGACACATCAGGGGAATTTCCTTTCAAGTTTCACTTGCACAAATAAGGCATTTTGGGCTGAGAGCTGCTGACTGCAGATCAACTCAAGGGATCCCTTGAGTGGAAAGGAAAGATATGGGAAGAATCATGGCTTCATATACCCACCACCTCTGTTATGGGCTGAGTTGTGTCCCCACAAATTCATAGTTGGTATCCTAACCCCCAGGACTTCAGCATATGGTGTTATTTGGAGATAGGGGCTTTACAGAGCTAATTCAGTTAAAAGGAGGTCATTATGGTGGACCTTCCAATCCACTCTAACATGATTGTAACCTTATAAAGGGGGGAAATTGGACACAGACACGCACAAAGAAAAACCCCATGTAAAGATGGAGGCAGAGATCGTGGTGATGCTTCTACAAGCCAAGGAACACTAAAGATTGCCACAGCGAACTCCCAAAAGCTGGGAGAGAAGCAAAGAACAGATTCTCCCTCCCAGCCTCAGAAGGAACCAGCCCTGCTGACACCTTGATCTTGGATTTCCAGCCTCTGGAACTGTGAGAGGATAAATTTCTAGGGTTGAAACCCCCAGCCTGTGGTACTTTGTTAACCCAGCAAAGTGATACAGTGCCCAACCACAACCCTGCCCCCTGCCCTCTCCCAACACCCATCCTCACTCACCTCTACCATCTGTGGTCGTGCCAAGACCGCTGCTGCACAGAGCCTGGAACTCAGCTGGAGTGGCATGGACAGGGTAAGAGGGGTCATTGGCCATTGCTGAACGTAAGCCATGCTTCAGGACATGGCCTGTTGGTGTTGGGCAAGAGTCTGGGACTAAGATGTCCCCCCAATGGAGAGAGTAATTTCCTGCAGTGTTTTCTTGGGAAGAGCCCCCACCCCATGAGAGCCAAGACCCCCATATTCTCCTATCCCCAGGGTGATGAACTAAACCAAGGACTGGAAGGCGTGTAGCGCCATGGGAAGTGGGTGAGGGCCAGGCAGCTCACCGGAGTTCTTGGCAGGACACAGCTGGCAGGGCTCCCCAAACCCATAGTCCGGGCTGGCACAGCAGCACTCAGATTTGGTCACAGCACCCGGGAAGGGGCGAGCACAGGAGCCCTTGTCAAGGGCCCCATAGCACGTGCTGCGCATGTG